TTTCAATGGGTATATTTGGTCCTTTTGGAGGCTTTTGGAAGGAGGTCTGTTACCTGATCAATAACACACAAAAACAGACTGCTCACTAGAGCCAAAACAGGAGCACTATACTTGCCTTTTGTTTATCAATGTGAAATACAGTAAGTAAAGAGATACAACCTAAGACAAGCATGAGACTAGAAGTCAGCTCCCGAGTGTCCTCAGGTTTTCCATTGGCTGCTCTAGCCATCTCCAAAAGACAATAAATGGAAGGTCTAGCTCTTAAAATTAGAGGTCAATTAGATACTTAACGATGAAGCATATCTTCAAATATATATCTATTATTTTATGCTAGCAAAAATTAATTAACCAGGTCAAGCAGGCCATGAAGGCTAATGTACAAAGTAATTATTTCTGATCTTTAGACAACTGCTTCGCATAAAAAGGTAGTCCTTTATTCTGCTCAGCAGATACCTGCAATACCTATACTTAATCATACTAAAGGAAACCAAAGTCAAAGTTGATCTCCTTAAAAAATGAGGGTACATCTCAAATTAATTGATTAAAGACAATCACTTCCTTACTTATAGTATTAGCATCTCTCTGGTCACAACACAGGAAGAAAGAACACACAATTAATGGTCTTTATCACATGATGAACATATAAAGACACATAAAATATGTGAATAACACAATAACACATCATAATCAAAACAGAAAATTCTGTACATGAAAAAGACTCTTAAGAACAGAGTGAAGCACCCATGAAACAAAAAACACTTAATTTGGGGAAAATAAATAAGTAACGTGTTACATTTAATAGAAAAAGCTTTCAATAAGACAAAGAGTATATTCAAAAAAAAAAAGCAGCAATGACAATTACTTCAGGCTTTCTACAGATTGAGTTTCCCATCCAACATATGTAATTAAATGGTGAAAGGGAGGGCAATGAGTATTATGTATTAATCACACAGAAAAAGAACACCTAACAATTTCAAGTTTCACAATTGTAATAAAAAATATGTATGTGTATGAACTGACAAAATCATTGTCTCTGGACCAGAATGCCCAGATAAAATACCAACTACCCTGTCCATTATTAAGAATCTGTTGTTCAGTCATGTGATAAGGATACTGCCTGGATAATATACAATACAAGCCACTTGAATAACTCTAAAACTGGAGTCTGAAGAGACATGAGTAATCACCTAATACCATTCATACCTGGATAGGTAAGTTTCTCACAAAGATATTTTAATGTGCTGGGTTCTTTCACAAAGACTATGTTCTAACTATAAAGGCCATCATTAGATGTATGCCTATTGATGTGCTATAGAAACCAAACAATGTGGTATATTGTGTCCATGAAGAACATCCTTTCTAGATTCAAAACCATGATATTGGCTGAATGAGATTAGAAGAATAAATATATAAGTTAATCAAGAAATCAGGATTTATACAATATTTTGCTTTCCTTAAAAGAGTTTTATATTAAATAGTGGATTAAAATACTGTAAATAAGCTCTGGTCTGTTTATAAGTATCTGGTAAATTAAAAGTAAGTTTTGTTTAGCAGTTAACATAACTGACAAAATGCTTCAAAATATTAGCTAAGATACTACAGTGTAGTGGGTAGGAGATGGAGGATGAACAACTGAAGCAGTTATCTGTCCTTTGGAATTACAGCAAGCATCAACATTCCCAAAGCCAAGGATTCATATTCCATGACCTATGAGTTTTGCATTAATTACATAGACTTGATAAAAAAAAAAACTATGCTATTGCTGCAAAAATGCCTAACTTCTTCTGGGTTCCATATCAAGAGATGTAACAAATAGAGGGATTACCACTTCACCCAATTTACAGAGATTTGAATCCACTAAGCAAACAGCCTCCTAAAAGACCTGTTAACATTAATATTTTAATGATCATTTAAAATTATTATCTTTATTTTTAATGGTAAAATTGACTCATCAAAAACATAAAAATATTTCACAAAATCATTCACCATACTTCTTTTTTAAATAGACCTTACATAGTCTCAGAAGTATCTCTTTTAAAGTTTAGTTAGGATTTGCCAAGACAAAATTATGCTAAAAATTATATTCAAGGAAGAAAAACATAAATGAAAAATTTTAACTACATACATGTTTTGAATTATTGCAAATATAAAATACTCATGAGAACTTTTATAATACTATCTTAATCATGGCTTTTCCCGATTCTAATAAAAAATCTTATTTTCCAATTTGTGCAACCATTCAGGTTTTTATTTGTTTCCATTATAATAGACCCAGATGTGTTTGTGTGTGGTTGTAACAAGAGATCAGACACTCTTCCCTTTCTTTCTTCCTTTAAAGCTTGCACATTGCAAAAAAACAGTACTTATTCAGAAGTCAGAATTCTGAGTTAGAGGGACAACCTTGGGAGTAATGGCCTGATATTCATGCCTATAGCCAACTGCCACAGCTTATTCTTGCTGAGGGATTAGCTAACAGATTCTAGGACTCAAGATTTCAAAAGGAAAAAAAAAAAGTCAAACCTATTCAAATTGTCTCTGTATTCTTCATTTGGTTTAAGAAGAGCAGTTAGGTTTCATTATTATTCATCTTATTTTATTCTTAATTCTGTCTGTTTTCAGGTGGGAGAATATTTCTTTTTTATGACTGAAAATGTTGGAAGTATCTCATGTTTTAATGTACAAAAAGTACATTAAAATTATTACAAAAGTAATCTTTCTCTTAAATTTGATCATGTCTATGAGTTATCAAAAACCATTCAAAAATAAAGTTAACCTCTTCCCCTTCCAAAAACATAACTAAGTCTAATCAAAGCTTGCTTTGTAAGTGTCATAGATAAGTAAGTTTTGTGTAAGGAGTAAATGTTTTTCAGCATTTGAAAAATTCTTAGAATGGTCTCATGCTGATAAGATAAATACTGACAAGATAAGTCATGAAGCAGTAGCTCAGGACAGAATGAACTATAAACACAGTTCCTATTGCTTCCTCTTTTTAAAAATATGAATTCTTGCTATAAATAGTTCTATATTCCTAAAATGAATGTAACTCTGACATTGAATATCGCTATCATTTTATAACTTACACTGCTGAAGCAAGTACTGATCAGCCTATATTTTTAAACTTTAAACAGTAAGAAATAAACAAGCAGTTAGGAAACTTCTGTTAGGAAACTTGAAAAAAATCCGCATCTTCATTCAGATTAATATTTTAAGATCATCTTCCACAGATTCCAGAAAAATACATCAGTTTCACATAGTCAAGTTACAACTATAAAATAGTATATAATCAATATACTAATAACATTTCATAAAAATATTATGAATTGGTTGCCATTCATCTGAGATCCTCAGTAGCACATGAAAACATCAATTAAGACAGTTAGTCAATAATACAACATTGAACTAAGAAGTGAAATATATTAGAAATAAAGAAGTAATAAAGAGGAAGTAAAAATAGTAATAATAATTAACTGATACAGGAGCATCTCAGTGACCTTCTTCCATTCTTGCTTTACAAACAGGAGAACTAAATAATGGTGTTATTTAACACTTACCAAGTTCTTAGAGAAGGATCTTGAGAAAAATGTAGGGAGCCATAAGCTAAAAATCTTGACATTATCAGTAGGAAATACACTGCAATTTTTAATAAGGGAGGAACAAGGGAATACCTGGACAGTTATTTAATTAAGGATCTCAGCATGAGTCACAAAAAAGATATCAGAATGAGAAACTATTCCAAGATTTAATTGAAAGTGTCACCATCAAAAATGCCAAACAATTCCATCTCATCTACATTTGGATGCTATTTTGAAACATGAATTTGAGTATGGCATATAGAATCAGAACAACAATAATACATTGGCTAAAACTTGTTAGTGGAATTGTGTGAGCAAAAATACAAATTAGGTAAAAATGCTTCTTCAGACACTAAGAATTTCAACTGTAGTAACTGCTACCTGGAACATTAACAATGATTAACAAAATGAAGCAAGGATCTAAGTTAAAATCACTGGTATTCATCAATGCAACTGATATTTCAAAAAATGCAGAAGGGCATGATATTAACCTGTACAAAAGAAATAATATAATTCAGAATATGCTGGCCCAGCTAGATTGGATCATAGGTCCCAGTAGGTTAGGAAATATTATATCGACAAGAGAAAAAAGTCTGTGCTTAGGCATACATGCCTCTGGGATCAGTGTCCTGAGGATTAATAACTAGACCACCAGCTTTTATCCTAGCACTTTCCAGAACCCACACATTTATGTTCCCATTCAGAATGAAATCTTTACCTTTCTCAAATAACTGTTAGTTAAATTAATCATCAAGTATCTAAAGGAATGACAGAAATCAAACCACCTCCTCCCCTTCCCAGATCACTGTAATGATCTACATATTTTCACACTGCCATAAGAAAAGGCAATTGTCTAAATTAGGTTATAATTAATTTCAGGAACAAGTTTTTCTTACTTTCTAGATTGTAAGCTCCTTGAAGACAGAGTATTATTCATTAATATTTATATTCCCCTCAGCATCTAAAAGGAATGCAGTCAACATTTGTTAAGGAAAAAATTAATTAACAGCCTTTTCCTAGATTCATTTTATAATTGGCACAATCAATTTTAACAAGTAAATAAAAGTAAGCTTCTCTCAATGATCCTATTACATGATAAAACACAAAGCAATGAGTGGTTTGTGTCAAGAAACATAGCAACTGTATGCTGTCTTGAAACCAAAAGGTTTCAAGTTGGTTGCATTAGATAAATGGCAAAAGGAAAAAAAATAAGTTTGTTCTGCTTACACATCACATCAGAGAAGAATGCTTCAACCACCACCAAGTCAATATTTCTTACATCCACGTATATAGTTGTATAAAACATCCTTGAATAACAGCCCTATTGGTGCTGTTTATAAGATAGGTACATTTGCAGCATTTTAAATTCCATTTTCAGGTGGGAAAGTATCTAAGTGTAATCAGACGAGAGTAATAAAATACACTGACCTGGATCTGTTGCTGCAGGAGATTAATTTTGTGCTGCTGTTGCAGAAGTTGCTGCTGTTGTCTTGCAATCTATCAGAAATAAAGTTTCATTAAGTTAAAATGAAATGCTTACACCTTTGCCATTACCTCAGGTATCTCTCCTGGTATTACAAGAATGCTTTACTGCACCTCATGTGAAAGTGTTCCTATAAAATGAGAGCAGCAGAATCAGAAAGTTGGAGAAAAGGAACATCTTTGAACAGATGCCACCTCTACTTTATCTAGAGGTGAAAACTACCCTCTTAGATCACATTTGTAAGCAATGCACCTATATCTGCACTGGTCACTGAAATCATGGGACTTTGGAAATCTGATCCTTGAGGAATAAAGACAGGAAAACTCTGGCCATATTTATCTGAAGAGCTTAATATGAATGCAAAAAGTAAAATCTGTAAGCAAAGACAGGGAAAAATTTTCTATTACTATATAATATAATTTGTTTTGGTGATTCCTTTTCTGATTTTCAGAGCTGATATACTTACAAATATTGTCTGAGAAGTAAAACAAACAGTAAAAAGTAAACAACAAAAACAAAAACACCTTTAGCTTTCTTTGTTGATGTTTATGTGAACTACAAAGCATTTTTAAAAGACAAACTAAGCTGTAATTTAACATTTATTCACTTATCTTTTTGAAGGTGGAATGTTTATTTATTAAGATCCATGTACACATTTTATACTCCTTTGCTTCACCCAACAATCAAATTTAACATCTTAACACATTCAGCCTATAAAAAGAAATATTAACCATTTAACGCAAGCCCTATTGAGAATCGAATCTTCCCCTTAGGAGGGCAAATAACTTCCTTAGGATAATGGTGTTTTCTATGAAGCATGAGTTAGGTATCCAGTCTTACTGCCTCAAAAGCTGAGCTGCTACAGCTTGAAGCTCAGGAAGAGGCTATGAGAACACATTCACTGCCAACCCAGGAAGGCAGAAAAAACAGGCCAAACGACACTTAGAAGGACTTGGTTTAGTGGTGCCTTGTAGTCAAGAATTCCTGTTTTTTCCTATTTCCAAAAGCCAGTATTCTAGAATGAACTATGTTGGAAGTGAAAATGAATGTGAATTAGTTCCAATCCCCACCTGTATCCTGAGCCTTTTTGGTGTACTATCTAAGTACAAGGGGAAATGACCAAATCACATTTCTTTCAGTGTAGGATGACAACATAGCAGTCTGCTCCCAAATGTTGCTTTATGACTTCTGGTGATGACTGGCTCATACTGTAAGGCATGATAAAACTGCCTCTACATAGACTATAGTTTGAGAAAAAGGACTACACCTTCCAAAGCTTTATAGATAACACGGACACACTATTTAATCAGGTAGTAATGGTCCACTCTGTCACCACTCAAATCAGAAATGGACGACTCACTCTGCAGCTCTAGGTATAGACACTGGATTCTCTGAATATTTATTTCCTCTTAGCAAAACAGTGAAACACCACTAGGCATCTAATATTGATGGTCCCTCCTAAGTGATAAAGTGCTGCATAGAAATGCATCTGAAACACCACAGTGCAATTACTATCATCCACTCTCGACGTATGGGTTTGACACAGTGAAGTATGGTACATAAGCACCATGTGGCTCAAATTCTGAATTTTATTTGCCAATCGGTTGAGCTACATGCTCGCTTCATTGAGCATGACAACCTAGTTTTAAGTGTCATTTAATTTTCATTTTGAAATATAATTACAAAGTGTTCACTGTAAGATATCACTCGTCTGCAAATGTGTCAAGATTAATTTGTGCTAGCTTATTCACAAGTGTCAATAGTTAATTACTGTGTCATCTCTGGATGGCTAAATGACATTCTAACTTCTGATTTTTTACAGTGTTCCTTTATGTTATTTTCCATTAGGGGTTGAGTCCATATTCCTACATGTGGGCAAATATTCAAGCATATAAAATACCAGACGTCACAACTCATTAAAATCAACAGAGCATATATTGCTCTATATACCCCTATAAAATACATTTAACTGAAAAGATAATTCCAGTAATAATGTCAGATTTCTTAAAACTGCACATTAATTTGGGTGTCTGATCTAAAGCATCAGAGACCACTCTACAGAATCATTGTTGTAAGATTAATGTACTCCAAGACAAGAAAAAGCCATTTTGGAAAGCAATTCTTTAAAAAAAATAATAACTTTGCTTTTATCTTCATCCTTAATTTCTAAGCCAATCATGTCAAATTCTTTTAGGAACCATATGCTAATTTGTTTTGATGGTTTACCTATGCTGTAAATAGTGACCATACAATTTATCATCCAAACCAAGACAACCTTTGCAAGTACAGAGTAGGGTATTAACAAGTACCCTGGAAAACAAGCATAAACAGGGCTATTTGGGAGAAAACTGAGATGCAGTGTTGCCCTAGCTATAAAGACAGAGGAAATCATTGGACCAATGAGCTGAAAAATCCCCAAAGTTTTTCGAGGATAGAATCCCCTCTTTTCCAGATGGGGAAAGTAAGGCCCAGAGAGAAGCCACTTACTCACAGGAAGCATTGGGATTACCTGTGATACCCATGTGAATAAATATACCTGAGTAATTAATCAAATCAAATCTTCCAAGACAATGCATCATTTCAGTTATGCCTAGTTACTATAATGCCTTTCTTTGTCCTCACATATCCCCCCTCAGTTTTCTTAAAGACTCTAGATTTCCAAAAGTCGTCTCTTTTTCTTCATTTCAAATTTTTCTTACTTTATTTTATTTTTTGAAGAAAGCTTACAACAAATAAACCAATCAATGTGATTACTTGCGGAGCTTGGCCCATTCAGCATCTTCAGCTGGTCAGCTTCTTTTGCAGGGCTCACCTGTTCTTGCTGTTGGCGAGCAAGGTCCATTTGTTGCCGTTGTTTCTCAATTTGTGAGGCTGCCAGTTTTTTCTGCTCATCATGTGCAGCCAGGAGCTGCTCCCGTAAACTGATCAGCTGGGTAATCATGGTGGAGAGCTGCCGCTCTTTTTCTGCCAGGCTCTCAGGTGTACCTAAAATAGAAGCAAGAAGAGATCTCACGAGCTTGAGGAATGTCTGAAGAAATCAGGGGAAGAAGGGTAGAATTTAGAAAGGGACTCCCCTAGACACTTAAAGATCTGGGACAATAACTTCAGGCCATTGTGAGGGCAAGAACATCACAGGAGAGTTATAGCAGTGGAATGAATGCTAGAATTTTTTGTTTTTCCAGCCAAGAAAATGTATTGTCACCAATGAATACTTAACTCAGTCTTGCCTCCACTTCTAAAAACAAAAGCAAAGCAGAACTACCTACCCCATTCTCTCCTTTTCAGACCGCCCCCCAAATCTATCTGATCAAATTAGGAAACCTATGATACTTAGTACCAAAGATCAGAAACATAGATAATATTCTATAATCACCTCTACTTTCAGTGACTAGCACAATATCTATAGCTAAGACATAGTAGGTGCTTAATAAATACATTTAAGCAATTTTCTTATCATTACGTTCAAAATTTTTCTGTTGGGCAAAGATCTGTCTCTGAAGTTCAGAAGTTAGGGGTCAATCTCTTATTTTCTCTATAGAGAAAATAAAAACTACCTCAGGTAAGAAAGTATTGAATTTTTTGCTGTGAAGGGATCAAGCTAAAGTTTTCAAGCTCGTCCTTAAAGGCAACAATGTTGCTTGGCGTGGGGGCGGGGCTCCCTGGCCCCTTTGCCATTTGTCATTCTTCAAAGGGAAAGAACACATTTTGAGGTTGAAAAGGTTATGCATAAGGATATGCTGTTTAATGAATCTGATGTCGCTGAGCACTTATGGTATGCACTAATGGTGCTGAACAGTCTTTTTATGGGCAAATTGCACAGCTCTTCTAAGTAAAGGGTACAGAATCCTTTTGTGAATCTAAATTAGAGCATTTTACTGCAGCATAAGATAAGAATTTCAACCCACTGTATTTGAGCCACACAGGTTTCATTATGAAGAAATGATCTATGATTTGAAAGCTTTTCAGAAAGATGCCACCAGCTGTCAAAGGGGACAAAGATTGCCAATTTTTGTGTATGTGGAAGGGGAGACTTCCAACCTCCTTATGAAACCCTCCTTGTTCCTGCTATAAAAGCACCAGAATGATCTCAGAGTAAAAATACCTTAATTTTGAGTGACCCTATCTTCTGAGTGGCCTCAAGGAGAAAAGGCACCTACAGAGGGTGCTGGCTAGCTCTTGCTCCACAGGTAAGACTGGTGTCAGTAGAGGAGCTACCACATTGCGGACTACCTTAACACAACTTAGAATCACTGAGGTGAAAGAGGCCTACAATAAAAATTAAAAGAAAAGAGAGACAGTGAGGTGTTAGAAAATATTTTCCCCTGATAGAAAAACAAACACCATGTCAAGCTAGTGACCAGTTATCCTTTCTAGCGCCTGGAATCAATTTTAAAAGAAAATGTGCTTCTATTTCAGCAATAGGAATTTGTTTGGTAAAAGAAAGAACTTCTTGATCCAGAAACATTAAACTATAAAAATATAAAAGCTGCTCCCAAAGGAGATCATAAAATCTCTTCAAAAGCACAAAAAAGTTCAAACAATGCATGTTAGTATTATATAGGAAAGAGAACATATAAAAGCATGAAATTTGTGTATTTACTTTTTTCATTCATTTTTAATTCAATAAATATTTCCTGAATGGCAACTTGAGTCAGATACTGTATCAGGTAATCACACATTACTAAATATAAACTACAACTAAAAAATTACAAACAAGACAATTTTGGGGGGAAGGTTTAACCAAGTTTGGAGGACCCACATTCTAGGAAGGTAGGTTGGAAAAGTAACAAATTAAGAAAAGGATGAATAGTAGTTAACTAAGCAAAGAGTTGGAGAATGGTTTGATCAAAGGCTTTCCAGGAAATAGGAGACATTGCCATTGTAAGGAAACTACCACAGGGGGATAAAAAAGGATGTTAGAGAGTGGTTGGTAGTGAAGAAGGAGAAAACAGTATAGGAAATGACTCTGCATGTATGTTGGGGGTATATATGGTTTGTGTCTCCTAGAAATTAAATAATGGTAATTAAATTTGAACAAGGAAAATAAAGGGGAATACCAGATGAGGCTATAAAGGTATGAAAATGTTAACATCATTTGACACTTACAGACCATGTTTGATGATCTTTCTATTTATTCTAAAAGTGATTCAGAACCACTAAAGTATTTTAAAGTATTCTGAATAAGGGTAATGTGGTGTTCTGGCTGTTATGTCCCCATACTGCAGAATGCGGACATAGGAGATAAGTGTTATATATTTTATTATATATTTTGTGCACTGTTCTAATTCTACATGTAATTTTTTTGTTATCTATATGAGATAAGCTAAGAGAAGGTTTATTGAATTCTTGGATAATTACTCTACTTAGTACTTTACTAATAAAGTGCTTCCACAGGACATTTCGGGCAAGGACCAATACAAGAGTTGGATTTGATATTTGAATAACGCAGTAAAGACTGGAACATTTTCTCTTCTCCCATATTAAACAAAGTCTTTTTGACAATATTCAACTTAGTTCCCTTTCTCTTCTGCTTAGCAAACAGAAGCCGAGGATAATACATAAATAACAGCTTCCTTGTTTAAGGTGAAGTCAACAGATCTATAGATGTATCGACACCCCACTGCTAATAGGTTTCTATACCTGAATTTGCATAATAACAGCATTTAGCTGAATGTTTTTATAAATCATGACATTAAAATTGTTTAATTATAAACATTCAGTGACATCTAAATAAATCTTTCATTGGTCTTACATACATGTTTAAAGAAAAAATAAGACAGTAGTATTTTTAAATTTGGAATTTAGGTCCTTATATAAGGCTGTCACTATCTCTTCCTAAAACTTGCTAGAACATATATATTTGAATAGATATGAATGGCACAACAAAATGAGATTGAAGTGAAATGTAGCAGTGTAAAACTCCTCAATGAGAAATTATAGATAGATAGATATACAGCCATTAAGAAAACATTGACTTACACAATAGCTTACATTCTATAAATGTATAGGCTAGTGTGCGTGTAGGGGGTAACTTTCCTGCTCTGTATCCATTTATACATGTTCAGGTATAACGGTAGGCATTTAAACCTACAGTGATGGATTTTTCTGTTTTAATTAACAGCAAGTGTTTTTACACTGCAGTAATAAAAATAATGGCCAGTGTGAATCACGCTGACCAACCAAGCTGGGAACACAAGTTATTTCATCTCAAAAATACTTGCTTAGTTAAACCTGAAACTTTGCCATGGCAAAGGAACTAGAACTGCCAAAGAAAGAATAAACTGAAAGAGTAGACAGCCTATAGGACACAACACAGCAACCTAAATATAGTCAGGTTGTGTTAAAGAAGGCAAAAGATGATAGAATGCTTTTTGAGTTAACTTAAGTCTATGTAGAAAATCTCATTCTAAATCATGTTCTGAGGTTTGATAAAATCAACTTGAGGATAAAAGTAGATCAGATTCTGAGGCTCTGCCCAGGCCAACAGAGGTCATCAGGAGCTGTCTAACATCATCTGTTTTACATCCTTTAGGCTATCTTAAAATGATTCTCTAAAAAGCATTGCCAGAAAATAGCCTTTTCTGCCTCCCACACAAAAACAGAGGTGGTTTCATAAACCACAAAAAGGGAACCAGCAAAAAAGCTTCTGTACACGCGGCATCTCTACAAGCCAGCGCGCCTGCTTTTATCCAGTATCAAACACAGTGTGCGCTTGACACTCTCTACCATAAACTGTGTCTATCCTCCAACTCCACAGACACAGCAGCAGCTTTTTCTTTCTTTTCTTTTTTCTCTCTTTCTCTCTCTCTCTTTTTTTTTTTTCATGGGGTCGTCTTTAGCCCCAAACCACATCTGTCTTGAGTTTCTCTCGGATTAGTCAGGTGGATCAGTGCTCCCCAGGGCCTGCTCCAGCTGAAGTATTTTAATTTGACTAAACACCTGATTTATTTTATCTCTCCGATGAGAAAGGCAGTTTGTCTTAATAGAGCCTGTCAGCCCACGGCCCCATTCACAGCAATTTACAGGCAGCCGGGGACGCTGGAAGAGAAGAGTGCCGTGATTCTGTATTTTATCCTCCTCCAGAAAGCACCTAAAAGCAGCTATTCACTGCTACTGCATGTGGCATTTTAGAACTGAATTAGCTTTTTATTCAAGTAACTACACTTGTTGTGAATAGCTTATCTGTAAAATTGCTACATTCACTACTGATTTTATTAACCTTTGGCTCTATCACAAAATGGTCTTCAGTTAGGAAAGACCTTTAAAATTGACACATTTTTTTCTTAGGGGCCTTTATTCCAGTGACTTCAGATTTACTGAATTTGATCCATTGAATTCTTTACCAGTTGTACTTAAATTTTTGAGTCTCAATAGGAAATCAATAGTGCGTAAATAAGGAAACACTTTTCAAAATGTAAATATCACGGCAATTTTCCTCATCAAAAGTTTTCAAATACCATCTTTTATTATAACAGTTTCAAAATCAGCCCTCTAGCCCTTTTTGGTCATAATTTGAAAACCTGAAAAAAATTAACTTAAATAGACAATTTTTTTAACTTTACAAACTCTAACTACCTGTGTTCAGACCCAATGCCAAGAGAAAACACAAAACAGATGAGAGTTAAAGTAAAATAAGATAAATAAGATAATTCCCTTTTTGATGTAAAATAAAGGATTAAAATAAAAAAACAAGTTTAAACTTATTTAAAAGCCTTTTTTATATCAATCCATATAAGTTAGCACTACAATCTGCCAGTTAATTTTGCCCATATGAAGTATATATAATTAAAATCAGTGGTGCCAGAAATAAGTCTGGGCATTGGGAAGCCACTTAAGACTCCAGATCTGGACAGGGTAGGCAACCTACAGAGCACTTTATAAATGCAAATTTGCCTCAACTCCTTAAGAGTATTCCCATACCTATAACTTTTACTGTATAAAAATTTTAAACATGCCACTCTCTTAATACCTGTTCCCTGAAAATG